TTTCGATCATGGATTAACAAAAAATTCGATCATGGATTAACAAAAAATTCTATCATGGGTTACAAAAAAATAAAAAATTTGATCTTGGATTAACAAAAAAACAAAAACAAATTCGATCATGGATTAACAAAAAAATCGATCAAGTATTACAAAAAAATCTATCATGGATTACAAAAAAAAAAAAAAAAAAAAAAATAACCATACGGGACTCGCCGATTCACTGTTCCGACTAGCCGATTCCGTACAGTGAATCGGCGAGTCACTGTACAGAATCGTCCGGTTCTCTCTAGAACCGAACGATTTTCGATTTTTCAACCGATTCGATCCACTTTTACGATTGCCGAATCGAACCGGGCGAGTCCGGTTCGACTCGGCATTTTGTAAAACACTGCATCGAAGCATTTTTACTTGCCCATGCTTAGGCGAATCATAAAGTAACTGAGGAGGTTCTCGAAACTTCGTTTCCAAGTTTCCATTAAGTTTTCTTTCCGCTTCCTTATGCAGGAGAGGGAGAGAGAAGAAAGAGATTTGTGCGCCGTGAGAAGAGAGAGAGAGAAGATGAGAGGGAGGAGTTACAGTTACAGCCCTTCACCACCGCCAAGAAGCAGGAGGGTTCGTAGCCCTAGCCCAAGGGATCGCTACAGGGGACGAAGCAGGGAGCTCCCTACGAGCCTCCTGGTTCGCAATCTTCGACGCGATTGCAGGTATTGTCATCTATTTCAATTGTTTATTGGCTTTATCTTTCCACTTTAGGTTTGTTCATTCATTGAGTGTCTCTGCTTCTTTTGTGTGCCGTTTCTGTTTTGGATCTGAAGAATAGGGTCGGTCGGTTGTTTCTGTTTGATTATGGTTAGATTTGAATAATTGGATATTGTATCTTGTTTTAAATGTGTTCACTCATGGTTGTTATTTTTTTCCCCTTTTTGAGTTACTAGGCTGGAGTTGATTTTTCTCTGTTTGGTTGTGGTTTGAATTTGGATTTTTAGAGATGATACCTCCTATTTAATTGTGTTTGAATTTGGATCTTGTTTGTTTGTGGCTTCTCTGTTTCTATTGTGTTTGAGTTATAAGATTACTGCTGATGTTTCTGTTTGATTGGGGTTGAAGTTGGATTCTTGGTGATGGCATCTTATGGTGAATACCAACATGGTAAGTTGAATCTGCATCCTGGGGTCTGTTATATCTTTTGTGAGAACCGAGAAGAATCATTTTTGTCTCTTGAACCCTAAGTAATTCTAGAGAAAAGCTTTGTAAAAGAAGATTCGTTTCTTGAACCCTGAGTAATCCTAGGGAATAGGAATTTATCAGAAGAATTTTGTATTTTGAATACAAAGCCATTCGATCCTAGGATATATTCATCGATTCATGCTACATGATTTTGTTTCTTGAAATCACTTAATTCTTGCATTTTGGAGCGGTTGGTGAAGATGTTGACTATTGTAACACTATGTCCGAAGTACAAGTCGTATTAACACTTAAAAATAGTGGTGATGCACTTCTTTTGTTTGCTTAGAACAATTCCTATATTTTCCCTTTAAATTAAAAAAAAGAAAAGAAAAAAAGAAAGTAATTAATTCTTAATCAATAATTAACAGAGAAGAACTTGGGAAAGAGAGTCAAAATCGTTTTGCGGCTTCTCAGATGAAATAATTAACGGTGATAGATGATCCAATAAGATGGAGAGATTCGTCATCATAATTTTTTGTTTTACACTAGGGCGTTACCTGGCAGGGAGGTAGAAAGAAGCTACATAGGAAGATAGACGAAGGGGGGTGAGTATTGCGCACAACTGCTAACAGTCCGTTGAGATATCTTTTTAATGACTGCGACTTGCTGGTCCTCTCGGTTAGATTGGCAATTGGAACAGTCAATAGCACCTAATGGTGTTCTTAGCTGATATTACGCTCACAGTAAAAAAGATCTTCGATATCTTGGGTTTTGTTTAGGAACGAGGTTGGACGAGTTCATCAAAGAACTATTAGAGCATGAAGACTATACCGGGTTTGGTTAACTAATTTGTTTTTCTCAAGCAAACACAACTTCACTTCTGCTTTGTTTCATGCAAAAGGGGTACATATTTATAGTAAAACATAATTCAAATTACCATACAGTGGTTTACATAACAATGGACTAAAACCATTGGTGGATAGTAATACCACTCTAAAAAGTAAAACCATACAATACACTAGTACATCTACTGGCCACTCATTTTTACATCCACTAAAAAAACAAATAGTACATTCATTGTTTTAAAAGCAAAACCATTTATAAAAAGTGAATACACTCTTCTTAAAGTAATATCCCTTAAGAAAGCCATGTGCTATGGTTATATTGTTACAATTTCCTCTATGAAAAAACATTCTCATCTTGAAATGCTTCTTCAAGTTATTTGGCTCTCTTTTATAAACCAATCTCCTTGAATTTCTGGTTTTGCAAACAGTGCTCTGATCTATTTTAGAGCTTTTTGTGGGCATTGTGTTCCAAGATGCCCATGCCCTTCTTGTTGACAGGCAAAGCAAGGTCCTTTGGCTTTTAGTTTTATCCATTTGTTTCTTGTGTTAAACTTGTAAGATTTGAAATTTCTTTTATGGATTTTTCTAAAATTGGGGATGTTATACTCTTCCACTCCTTTTATGGTGTTACATACTTTGGATCCTCCTCTTTTATATGACCTAGTGTCATCTTTATATCATCACTTTTTTATATCACCTCTTGCATATCCCACAACGTCAGCCATTACTAAGTTTTGTATTGCTATATTTTTCCATAGAAAGTGTTTGAAGAACGAGTTTTGGAATATTGCCTGGAAGGGATGCAAGATAATATGCATTGCATGTTGCATTATTATGCAACCCCATCTTGTAACATTTGTTGCTGTAGTTTAATTTTGAAGTCTAATTTTCAAAATCATCAATATTTTGAAGTTTAATTTTTCCCAACAAAACTATATTTGTGGCATATTGTGCTGGGGATTTAGAGAGAAATTCTGAGATTAATTTGGATCCCAATTCAGTAAATTTTGCTACGACTATGACACTTTTCCTAGTATCATTAAGATGATTCCACTAGTTGCCAGCTCTTCCATGTAGAAATCCTTTGCCATATCTTATGGCATCTGAATTTGATCATCTTCTTATGTTGGCTACATATTTATGTACCAAGCAGTGATCTCTTGTTTTGTTTTTGAAGGAGACCGAGTTAACTCATCAATATTTAAAGTTGGAATATCTTTTCCTATATTTCTGAGATCGTATTACTCAATAGTAGCAATTCTCATCATTTTCATCTGAGAGAGTAAGAATGATTCTTCTATTTGTTCAGAATTTTGAAGAAGTGAAGGAAAGCTAGGAGGCTTGAGTTTTTTAAGGCTTTTGCAGCTTCATCTTCTTTCTTTTTTTTGTGACTTTATTTATTCTTAAATATTTGCAAATGATTCTCATGGATTTGTATAATTTTTTCTTCTTCCTTCATATTTTCTTTCTTTTCTTGTGCTCTCTTATCGGTGAATATTTCTCAGTTTTTCTTTGATTGATATATCCTTATTAGCATATGAGGTCCAATTAATTAAATGGTTCAACTGGCGTACCTCATCCTTTTGTACCTTTTCATAGTTGATGTTATGTACCTTCAAGATCTTCTAATTGATCTGGTGTGGCTCTTGCTTAAGGCCATTATAGGCGGCCATTCTCCTCTGATGACTAATGGCTAGCTAGATTCTTCTTTTATTGTGGTCATCATATAACTTTGAGCAATTTGAACAGCTTCCCTATTTGGTGAATTTGTGATATTTCTAGCAAGTGGGTCAATATCAGTGTTCGCAAAATCAAACCGGAACGGTTAACCAGATATGGGGCTAGAAGCAATTTAACCGGTAAACCGGTTGAGTCAACCGTTCTAACCGGGCAAGTCTCGGGAGGTCAAAAAATGGTTGAAAAAAATAAAAACGATACAAAAAAAATCTACTAAAATATGCAAAGCATAAAAAGAATGATTAAAAAAAAAAATTCAAATGAAGTTGAAAATTAATGAAAAAAATGGATTTTGAAGAATCGATTTGTGCCTAAAGGTATTTTTAAATTTTTTTGAAAAATATGGGAAAATATAAAAGTGAATATTAATGACCAAACGAATTTTTAATATTTACTATAATGTAAAGAATATTAAAAAATATATTACAATCAAATTCCTTATTTTGGGGATTTTATATACATTTTAAAAAGAAATTTAAATACTGGCCAATCATTAAAACCGCCCGAAACTGGAATCAGCAAGGGGTTGGTTTTGATTTAACCGGGCGGTTATCGATTAGATCGCTCGATTTTTTAAAGAAATTGGGCAGTATTTACCATTTGGAAAAATAGGGGGTAAATCATTTTTCTAGCTTGTCTAAAAATGATTTTTATTCTCTTTCCATTTTCAAACCGAAGCTCTTCCTCAAGTAGAGTAGACTCAATGACCTCCTCATGATCAACATCTTCATCCACTCTCTCATAGGGACTTTTTAACACATATTTTGGAGTATTTTCTGCAGTTATCAATTCCACCCCAACCGCATCACTACTGCTGTGATTTTCTTTTTATGTACCCTTCTGAATGTGCTTTAATATGGCTGACTCATCAAACTTAACATCACAACTGATAATAAACTTAGGCGACTTAGGATCTGAGCACTACATCCTATAACACTTAACCTCATTTGCATAACCAAGGAAAATACACTTATTGATCTTGGACTCAACATATCATCCTTCACATGAATATAAGCAGGACGACAAAAAATTCTTAAATGAGAATAAACAAGAAGTTTACCGGACCATACATCTTGTTGTGTTATATAATCGATTGTTGTAGATGGTGACCTGTTGACGAGGTAACACGTAGTATTGGCCGCCTCTGCCCAAAAGTCCTCTGACAAACTAGCGTTACTTGATATGTTGCAGGCCTTCTCTAGAAGTGTCATGTTCATGCGCTCAACAACTCCATTATGTTACGGTGTCATCAGAGTGAACAATTATTTCGCTCTTGCAAAAATTCACAAACTCCGTTGAAGTGTATTTTCCACCATTATCAGTCCTCAAGCACTTGATCTTCTTCCCAATCTGTCCTTTAACCATAGCTTTCCAATGTTTAAATGTATTAAATACATTTGCATTTTCTTCAATGTGTAATCTACACCTTCATTGAAAAATCATCTATGAAGGAAACAGAGTATAGAGATCCACCTATTTAGACAACCGATACAATGTCCCATACATCTGAATCAATATAGTAAAAAACACCTTTTGTGGTATGTTCTGACGTGCAAAACTTCACCCTACACTGCTTACCATAGGCACAGTGCTCACAAAAGTCCAACTTGCACTTCTTCACGTCATTGATCAATTGACATTTGCTAACTTATGTCAAAGCTCTCTCACCCATGTGGCCCAATCGCCTATGCCACAATTGAGTCAATTCAGAATCATCATCATTAGATATGGGAGCCGCTGCTTTATTTGTGATAGTATTCCCAAGCAACACATTTAAATTCGATTTGATCTACTTGCCTTTTATAACAACTAGAGCACCCTTAAGAATCTTCAGAACTCCACATTCTCCAACAAATTTACAGCCATTGAAGTCTAACATACCCAAAGAAATAAGATTATTCTTCAAATCTGGAATATGTCTAACATCAGTCAAGTTTCTGACAACTCCATCATAC